CAACATGCAGGTTCAACCTGTGCAACCTGCTGGTTCAACCTGTGCAACCTGCTGGTTCAACCTCTGCAACCTGCTGCTTCATGCTGCTTCAACCTGTGCAACTTCAACCTCTGCAACCTGCTGCTTCAACCTCTGCAACCTGCAGCTTCACCCTCTGCAACCTGCAGGTTCAACCTCTGCAACCTGCTGGTTCAACCTCTGCAACCTGCTGGTTCAACCTCTGCAACCTGCTGCTTCAACCTCTGCAACCTGCAGGTTCAACCTGCTGGTTCAACCTCTGCAAATTGCTGGTTCAACCTCTGCAACCTGCTGGTTAAACCTCTGCAACTTGCTGTGGTTCAACCTCTGCAACCTGCTGGTTCAACCCTGCAACCTGCAGGTTCAACCTCTGCAACCTGCTGCTTCAACCTCTGCAACCTGCAGGTTCAACCTCTGCAATCTGCAGGTTCAACCTGTGCAACCTGCTGCTTCAACGAACCTTTTTGGCCAGTGTTGGGCACACGGGGAAGAAGTCCTGCTTATTGTTTAGTTCTACTTGCTTATCCACTTGTTATCTGGTTTGGGGTCGGTTGTAGCGGTGGTCGTGGTGTTGGGGTGCTAGTGCTGCTGCTGCTGCTGCTGCTGCTGCTGCTGCTGCTGCCATGAAAGTCACTAATAATAACAATGATTGTTCATCTAGAACTAGAACCGCTGTTTTATCATACTGCCAGTGCTGCTGCTGGTGGTCCTCATCAGGCTGATTGATATAGAATGGTATCAAAGTCACTTCCCTTGTTTGCTGCTTTTGCCAATGGTCTGCAGACCTGCAGTGCATGAATAATAATGGTGCCATCGCTGCAGGTCGTTGATTCCTGTGTTCTGCTGGTCTTCTCTCGTGCTCTCAAAGAAACCCTCTCAGAAAAGTAGCAAGGGTAGGGTCTTCATGGGAAAGTTGTTTTTTGTTTATTACTATTATTACAAGTAACATGTATTCCCTGCTAGTCTCCGATACCTCAGACAAGCCCCATGATTAAATGTTAGTGTTCTCTTTGCTTTCAGAATAGGTTGATGGCTTGTGTTTGGGTATTCGAGTGTGTCTCCAGACTTTCACTCAGCAACTTTACATATCTTGAGGACAACAGTATCGGCTCGCTGCTGCAAAACAAGGTCCAGTAATCATGGCGGAATATTTAGAAGTAGCCTGGCGGCTTTTGTGGCTAAAGGGTGTAGTTTTTGTTAGCTTTGATATTCTCATCGGGATCTTGCATCGAGTCCTCCTTAACCCAAGAAAGCGCCGATTTCCACCCAGGACCCTTGTTTTACTTGAGGTGCCCCCCCTCCCCGCCCCAACCATCAAAGAAGAACCTCAACAAAAGCCCTGCATTCTTGGGCTTCTGCAGACATGCAGTGTATTATTATGCATGACGATGCCACCGCTACAGGTCAAAGAATATCCCTCCTAGATAAGTGGCACGGGTTCTTCTAATAATATGTATTCTCTGCTAATCTCCGATACCTCGGACAAGTTTCATATCTAGTCGGTGGTTAGTTGTCTTTTTTGCTCTCAGAGAAGGCCTTTCAAAGTAGGTTCATGGTTTGTGTTTGTATCGTTATGCCGTTATGCAAGCCCTCGTGCATAATAGTATCAAAAATATTTCTTTGTGTATCTGAGTCTATCTAAATAATTCGATATAATATGATATCCACACATACCTCTCTTCTGCTTTCTAAAATAACTGAACACACTCATCACTCTCGGCAAGTTGGCATAGCAAGCTTGATGACAACAACAGCACGATATTATGTACAACAGCTTGTCAACATCAACAACACCGAACACTTGAAGACCCGACACTGTCGCTGACGGCTTTGTGCTTTGTTTTCTCGCAAAACAGCTGGACTGGTGCTGGTGCGCGAAAGGATGCTGGTAGTAGCATCGCACTCCTCAGCGACATTGTGCATGCCGAGGTGCACATGAATGCCGATCCACTCTCAAAACATCCCTCGGAATATGAGTGTGAGTGTTATCATCTCTTCAAGCATGCTTGGGAGTATTATTTTTATCATCTCTCAAAGCATCCCTCGGAGTATTGTTGTTATCGTCTCTCAAGGCATCCCTCGAAGTATTACTCTTATTATCATCTCTGAAAGTATCCCTCGGAGTGTTGTGGTTTTTCCTTGTCTCTCAAGGCATCCCTCGGAGTATCATTGTTATCATCTCTGAAAGTATTTTTCCTTTTGATTGCAAGCTAACAACACTACAACCAGCTGTTTTGTTTTATTAGCGTTTTTTCAGGGTTGATGCTTTTTGCGAGTTTGTTTTTTCGGTATAATATAATAGCTTTAGCCATCGCTGATGTCACTCAAAACATCCCTCAGCTTTTGTTTCTGTGCTTTTGTTTCAGGTGTAATATCTAAGAGTCAAAACCTTGCGGCTCCACTCTGTTTTTTCCTTCCAGGCAGCTGCTGTGTCACGGTGTTGTTCAGTCGGCCTTCTTCATCGCCTTCATCGCCTTCGTCGGCTTCTTCTTCATCGCCTTCATCGCCTTCGTCGGCTTCTTCTTCATTGCCTTCTTAGTCTTCACTTTCATCGGCGGGTCACGGACGTCCAAGGTGGGGTCGTATTCCCAACATTCTATGATGGTGCTCGCCGTCTCCTGCAAGTTCTTGAGGCGGAAAGCTCCCCACACTTTGCTCCACACCTTCCTGTAGGAGGTCGACAGGTGGTTGGACCTTGTCGGCATGCTTTTCTAAGCGAGGAGACGACTGGGGAGCTGGCGGGGGTGAGTGCGTCCACAGAATTTAGATCTCTATCTAAAAGTCTAGTAGTAGTAGTAGTAGTAGTAGTAGTAGTAGTAGTAGTAGTAGTAGTAGTAGTAGTAGTAGTAGTAGTAGTAGTAGTAGTAGTAGTAGTAGTAGTAGTAGTAGTAGTAGTAGTAGTAGTAGTAGTAGTAGTAGTAGTAGTAGTAGTAGTAGTAGTAGTAGTAGTAGTAGTAAGTAGTAGTAGTAGTAGTAGTAGTAGTAGTAGTAGTAGTAGTAGTAGTAGTAGTAGTAGTAGTAGTAGTAGTAGTAGTAGTAGTAGTAGTAGTCGTAGTAGTAGTAGTAGTAGTAGTAGTAGTAGTAGTAGTAGTAGTAGTAGTAGTAGTAGTAGTAGTAGTAGTAGTAGTAGTAGTAGTAGTAGTAGTAGTAGTAGTAGTAGTAGTAGTAGTAGTAGTAGTAGTAGTAGTTAGTAGTAGTAGTAGTAGTAGTAGGTAGTAGTAGTAGTAGTAGTAGTAGTAGTAGTAGTAGTAGTAGTAGTAGTAGTAGTAGTAGTAGTAGTAGTAGTAGTAGTAGTAGTAGTAGTAGTAGTAGTAGTAGTAGTAGTAGTAGTAGTAGTAGTAGTAGTAGTAGTAGTAGTAGTAGTAGTAGTAGTAGTAGTAGTAGTAGTAGTAGTAGTAGTAGTAGTAGTAGTAGTAGTAGTAGTAGTAGTAGTAGTAGTAGTAGTAGTAGTAGTAGTAGTAGTAGTAGTAGTAGTAGTAGTAGTAGTAGTAGTAGTAGTAGTAGTAGTAGTAGTAGTAGTAGTAGTAGTAGTAGTAGTAGTAGTAGTAGTAGTAGTAGTAGTAGTAGTAGTAGTAGTAGTAGTAGTAGTAGTAGTAGTAGTAGATGAACAACGATACAAGACTACTTCGAGTGAGGAAAGCAGGGAACGTGCTGATGTTGTTGTCGTTGGACTTGGTAATTATCACTCCAACAAGCATCCCTCCAAGTATCCCTCAAAAGCTCATTTCCTCCTCACAGTATTGATACTACGGGTGTGTTTTGTTGTTATCTCTCAATCCCTCAGCATATTATCGCTGACAGTTGATATCACTCAAAACATCCCTCAGCTGTTCTTTCTGTGTTGTCATGCACAAAATCGAGCCGCCAAAGTTCGAGTAAACTTCGGGTTCCCGGACAAAATAGCCGACACAAACTTCGAGTAAACTTCGGGCTTTCAGCCGAATCACAACCCGAAACTTCGAAGAAACTTCGGGTAAACTTCGGGTTGCAGGGCGGCGCAAAATAAGATATATATCTTATTTTGCGCTGTTTCGTAGACAAAAAATAAGACATATATCTTATTTTTTGTCTACGGAATATCTTATTTTTGTCTGCCTATATCTTATTTTCGTAGACAAAAAATAGCAGACAAAAATAAGATATATATCTTATATACTATTTTCGTAGACATCATTTTGCCTAGAAACAAAAAATAGTCTAAGATAGTCTTAGGGGCGTGTGATGAGGATGAGTTGAATGAGTTCTTAGGGATTTTATGATTCAGATTGCACTGGCTGTCATAGGGCTAGTAGGGGGCTTCCGAGGCCATTTCGGCGACTTCGCCCAGATGAAGTGGCCAAAGGGACTTTAGCCATTGATGTGTCAGGGCCGCATACAACATCCGCGAACGGCGCGAGGTACGCTTTGATAGGTACTTTAACTCTGGAGTCAGGGGAAAGTCTGCCTTATGTGGAGCTTCTGGTGGATCGAAAGCACACTGGAATCTTGAAGGCCACGATGAGGATCATGGCCAGAATTACGTCTATGGCCGCTGACAAAACAAGTGTCTTTCGCGTACACAGTGACAATGCTCTTGAATTCTGGGCGGACAAATTCATTGATTCTCTTGAGCGCCTTGGTTTATGGGTCACCAAAACAGTCCCCCACAGTCCCCAGAGCAATGGACGAACAGAAAGGATGATCCAGCAACTGAAAGTGGAAACGGCCATATCCATGCTGCATGGAAAGCTCAGTCCTAAGCTGTGGCCCTATGCCTTACAAGAAGCAGCCTTTACGAGGCGTGCTAAGGTTCTTGGCATCAAAGTTCCGGACGGGACGCCAAGACCTGGGGACTGGGTACTTGTCAAGCGCCAGCAGCCTGAAGCTTTCGGTGATAGAACGGTGTCAGCGGTGTATTTGGGACATGATGATTCGACGGTTGGAGGGGCTTGGGTTTTGCAGCGCAGCAGGATAATACCGTAATCACGCGAGCTAGACTTCCTATGCTGGACAACAAGAAGCGGGCACGCTGGAAGCGAACATTCACACCGGGTGGGGAATCCATTTGGACATCAACGATTGGGGATGTTGCATTCGCGAACACTGAAGATAGGGATGGTGACGTGAACATCTTGACACTGGAAGAAAGGTTGGATGGACCGGTGGATTCCGAGGCTAACCTTCGACGCGCATTGCTCATGCGAAGTCTCTATGTTGGCAATCAGAGTGACATATCTGAGGACGATCAGGTCGGGGAGTTCGTTCGCTTTGCGCATGGTTTTTGTCAGCTATCCCGGATGAAGAAGATGGAGTTCCAGCTGCATCAGCTCCACCTGTGGACGCAGAGACTGTGGATGCGGGTGTGGGTTCTTTCAAGGAGATCGGCAACAGCAGTGGCGTGAGTCATTGATTGCTGAGTATGCCAAGATGGATGGTGTTCTTCGTGAGGTCCCGCAGGACTGCGGAAGCACTTGAACATCTCCCCTAGGCCAAGCTGCCCATAAAGATTCCTTCAAAGGTTGTGCCCGCAATGAAACCTTCTGACGACCCGAGGGCGAATGCAGATGGATTCATGGTCAAAAGCCGTATCTGTGCATGTGGGAACTTCGAGGAGGGCACCGATAACACAACGGGGAGCCGTGGTCGTCATCAAACATACCACCTGAAATTGTACGATGCTTTGTATCCCTAGCCGCGAAGGTTGAGGATTGGACATTGGGCGGTCTCGACGTCGAGGCGGCTTTTCTCAACGCGGAGATTTCCGGAAACCGCGTGATAATTACTCCGCCGAAGATAATGAGAGACCTAGGAATTATTGCAGAAAACACTGTGTGGGTGGCGGAACGCAATATCTACGGACTTCGACGTGGACCGACAGAATGGGAGCGAGAACGCGACCACAAGCTCAACCATGCGGAACTGCCTCCGGGTGATGGAGACAAACTTGGAGCACTGCATTTGGTCCCTTTGAATCTGGCAGCAGGATTGTGGAAGATCGTTGACGGCGCGGGCGTGACCAGAGGGGCATGCTGTGCGTACGTTGACGACGGACTCATTGTGGGTGGCATTGAGGTGATCAGACGGGTCACGGCCTTCATTCAGAGTTGTGGGCTATAAAGGGGCAGGGCATTCTTGAGAAGCCGGGGGTAGGCCTTTGCAAGGACCCGGTTGTGAGTGAAACCCTGACTTTGAAGCTTGTTCAGTGCATGCGATTCCTCGGTGCAGAGATTTCTGTGGCGAGCGATGGATTGCGTATTGGACAGGCGAAATATGTAGCTCAAGAACTTCGCGCTCGAGGGTGGCTCGCGCTCAAAGGCGCAGAATCTTTGCCGGTGCCATCAGAGGGTCTTCAAGGGTCTGATATCCGCGACAATGCGTTCGAAAACAACATGAAGCTGGCTCAGAAGGAGGCTGGTACCTTGATGTGGATTGCACTTCGGTCTAGACCGGACATTGCTGCTTGCTTAGGTGTTGCTTCAACTCTGATTACATCGAGGCCTTCCGAAAGCCTCCGTTTGTGCAAGGGGATTTGGCGATACTTGAGAAGCACCTGGAATAAGACTTTGCACTATCGCTACGGTGGTGGTCCTGTGAGTCCCGGGGGCAGTGATGTTGCAGCAGATGCGGAGTGGACTTTCCGCATCGTCTCAGATGCATCCTTGGCGCCTGGTGGCGCACGGTCACGAAGCGGAATGGCTCTGTTCTTAGGTGATCATCTGGTGTACTGGAGATCGCAGCGGCAGTCAATTGTGGCTTGGTCAGCGACTGAGTCCGAGATCGAGGCTACCGCAGCAGCGATTCAGGAAGGAATCAAGATACACGCAGGGCTTGAGGAGTTGCTTGCATGTAAGATTCACATCATTGCCAACGGCGACAATGCTGGGGCGATTCACTTGATCACTCGGGAGCGCTTTCATGAACAGACTATGCGCACAAGACATTTCGCGATTCGTTGTGCATACATCAGGGATTTGGTGTGGCTGCACAGCATTGAGGTTCAGCATCGTGGAACAACCGAGCTCAAAGCCGACGGACTTACTAAGGTCCTGGGAAAAGCGAAGCTGGCCGTGGCACGCACGCAGCTGCGGATCACGTAATGGGCAGGTCGATGATATCCGTTCTGCTCATAATCCTCTCGCATTTGGCCCACTCTCAGACTACGTTCTTTTGCAACATGGGCTCCGAAGGAATAGTCCAGGGTCTATGTTTGGGTAGGAAGGCGCAGCAGGTTCCCACTGGGGATAAGAACAGAATCAAGATTGCCCGAAAGAAGAAAGATAAGAGGCCATAGGCTGGTCCATCAAACCCCAACGGGCCTGGGGAGTACGCTGTTGCTTCATCCTTTATGCGCCGGTAGTTCTTTTTTCTTTTTTCCTAGTTTGGAGATCTGGCCATGTTTGAGTCTCAGCACGTGCGAGCCCGCACATGCCGAGAAGGAGGAGTGTGGAAAGTAGGCCAGATGCTCCGTGATGTTCAGCTAATGCTCATGATGGTCGAAGCACTCATCTACGAAGTATGGCTGTAATTCAAGTTGCAAATCTTCTCAGTGTGCGCATGGCCCCTGCTCAGGATGACACGCACTACTGAGGTGTCTGGCATGGCATGGCCCCTGCTAAGGATGACACGCTTTTCGAGACGCACTTGAAGGTGCGATAATCGTTGTGAATTGGCTCAAGTGAGCATTCAAGCGAGAACCAGGAGTTTGAAAAGCCCAGCCCTCTCTGCCAGTTCGGCAGAGCAGGGCATGTTTAGGGTCAGGGTTCTCTTCGGTGCTTGTTCGTGGAGGCAGGGTAGTTTTCAAGGTGTCAAGTCACGAAGGCGAGAGGTTTGGGGATCAGGCGAAGTTTGTAAGTAATGAGCTCCCCTGCCCCAACCCACTTTAGTATGGTGACGGACTCACCATCACCAGATCAGCTTCACTTTTCAACGATGCCGGTAAGTCCCTGCCAACCCGTAGGGAGCCGGACCATCAGCACGGAGAAGATGCTCCAACCCAAGCACCTGTGCTTCAAAAATTCACTCCTTCGGGGGAACTTGCGGCTGTTGTGTTCGAGGCCTATCCGGAGTGACAACGAGCAGTGTGTCAACGAGCCTTAACATGGTCATGCTCCCTTATAGTCGGTACATGTGTTGGGAGGCCTCCACCGTTACTTGTACTTGTACAGTGTTTTTCGGCCCACGTCGAAGCCAGTGCTGTGACCGTGACACATGCCCAAGTACTGTATGCTATACCATCGAACTCCAAAGTACTGACCTGCATTCCTGATGACATTATGCTTGCATGTGGTTGCGACGTTAGGTGCATTGGTTTTTGACGGTTGACGTTGGAGCAGCTGTCACTGCTAGCATGGGTAGTCGGGGGACCCGCAAGAAAACTTTTGGTTTTATACTTGACACATGATCGGTTTACTATGCACTGGTCTTTGTTGAACGAACCGGGGACCCCGCGCTTCTCAGAAAGCTGGCACTCACAGGTTGATTCAGCCTGTACCAGGTATGCCGGTTGCTATTACGTGTTGACTCAAAACCGTGAAGCCAGCGACCCGAGGGGTCACTGCGACACATAGCGCTGCCCAAACTTTCAAATCAGGGGACCCGTCAAACTTTATTAGTTAGCTCCGACCGGTAGTTGTGTTAGTGTTGGTCGACAACGACGGGGAACCCGACCCATCAATAGCTGGCGCAGTTCGATTTATCTCGAACCTGTATATCTTCGAAACATGAAGCGCCGTGCACTCATGCAATGCTCTGTCGATCCATACATGTGAGAATTGGAGGAACTGTGCTCCTTGAACCGGAGCTCTGTTGTGTAACCCAATACTCACAGAAAAAACGATCGTGACCGTGTCCACCAACCATCGATGAACCCAGTCAGTTCATAGTCCAATATAACTTTTTGCATAAACTGGGGGAATCGATGTTTTTTCCCGTCCCGCCGAAAGCCCCATAACACATGAGGGGCCCATGAGGCCGAGGGGCCTGACCCGCCCCATATGCCATGAGGAAGAAGACCTTGGATGGTAGGCCTTTCGGCCAAGGGTCCCTAGCGGCCCTATACGCCTTCGCAAGCAACCAAGCAAGCAAGCAAGCAAGCAAGCAAGCAAGCAAGCAAGCAAGCAAGCAAGCAAGCAAGCAAGAAGAGAGAGAAAGAGAGAGAGAGAGAGAGAGAGAGAGAGAGAGAGAGGTGACAGAGGGGGACAGAAGGGGACAGAGGGGGACAGAGCGGGACAGAGGGACAAAGGGGGACAGTGGGGGAGAGAGGGGGACAGAGAGGGGGACAGAGCGGGAGAGAGGGGGAGAGAGGGACACACGGAGAGAGGGACACACGGAGAGAGGGACACACGGAGAGAGGGACACACGGAGAGAGGGACACACGGAGAGAGGGACACACGGAGAGAGGGACACACGGAGAGAGGGACACACGGAGAGAGGGACACACGGAGAGAGGCACACACGGAGAGAGGGACACACGGAGAGAGGGACACACAGAGAGAGGGACACACAGAGAGGGGGACACACAGAGAGGGGGACACACAGAGAGGGGGACACACAGAGAGGGGGACACACAGAGAGGGGGACACACAGAGAGGGGGACACACAGAGAGGGGGACACACAGAGAGAGGGACACACAGAGAGAGGGACACACGGAGCGAGGGACACACAGAGAGAGGGACACACAGAGAGAGGGACACACAGAGAGAGGGACACACAGAGAGAGGGACACACAGAGAGAGGGACACACAGAGAGAGAGGGACACAGAGAGAGAGGGACACACAGAGAGAGGGACACACAGAGAGAGCGACACAGAGAGAGGGACACACAGAGAGAGGGACACACAGAGAGAGGGACACACAGAGAGAGGGACACACAGAGAGAGGGACACACAGAGAGAGGGACACACAGAGAGAGGGACACACAGAGAGAGGGACACACGGAGAGAGGGACACAGAGAGAGAGGGACACACAGAGAGAGGGACACGCAGAGAGAGGGACAGAGAGAGGGACACACAGAGAGAGGGGCACACAGAGAGAGGGACACACAGAGAGAGGGACACACAGAGAGAGGGACACACAGAGAGAGGGACACACAGAGAGAGGGACACACAGAGAGAGGGACACACAGAGAGAGAGGGACACAGAGAGAGAGGGACACACAGAGAGAGGGACACACAGAGAGAGCGACACAGAGAGAGGGACACACAGAGAGAGGGACACACAGAGAGAGGGACACACAGAGAGAGGGACACACAGAGAGAGGGACACACAGAGAGAGGGACACACAGAGAGAGGGACACACAGAGAGAGGGACACAGAGAGAGGACACAGAGAGAGGGACACAGAGAGGGACACAGAGGGGGACAGAGGGACAGAGAGGGACAGAGGGACAGAGAGGGACAGAGAGGGACAGAGGGACAGAGAGGGACAGAGGGACAGAGAGAGAGTGAACGAGAGAGAGGTGGGGCTCGATGGCGAGAAAAGGACGGGAGGCAAGAAAGGCAGAGGACAAGGAATAGGGGAAGCGACGGGCAAAGAGAGTGGGAGAAAGTGAAAACATATATCAAAACAAACATATTTGGCGGAAAGATGCGGGAAAGGGAATGTGCAGAAGTAGACGGGAAGGGACGGAGGGAAAAAGACAGAGAGACAGGAAGGATGAGATGATGAGACAGGGTTCCCCCTTGCATGCCCGTCCCTTTCATTTTTCCGTCCTAATGTTGTTTTGGAGGAGAGAAAAGGAAGAAGGCAAAGGACAAGAAAGTGAGAGAACGGAGCGAAGGAGAAATTCTCCTTTCTTCTCCGAACCATCTTCCCCCATCTTACCTCTTCCTTTCTGTTGTTTGCTCTTGTGTCCTTATTCTTGGCAGAGCCTTTCTTCCTTCCCCTCCGTTGTCTTACCTTCGTCATCCAAACAGGAAGCGAGGAAGGGAGCCTCGTTCTGCTTGCTCCTTACCGCACTCTGCTTATCTACATCTCGAGAATCTCAATGCTTTCTTTACACTTGGTTTGGTATTCATCAGCACGGGGCGGCTTTCGTTGCTTTTCTTTCTTCCCCACTGTGGAGCTCCTCCCTGGGAGATCCCGTCGAGTGACCCTCGCTGGAGGCACCGTGGAGGCATCTCTCAGGGATGGGGGTGGGAGAGGAGTTGAAGGAGCTCCCAGAACCTTGGTTTTCAAAAAGTTGCGGAAGTGATTGAAGGTCCCGACAAGCAGTGACAAGCCTCCTAAAGGCCTTCCCGAGGCCCGGAGTCCTTTGAGATACCGCAACACAAGGACTCCCGCTTCGTCTTCCGGGTCCTTTTTCCTCGTCTTCCTGTTTCTCTCATTCGATTTCCCCCACTCTCTGTCTTATCCACTTTCACCTCTTCCTTCGCTTAGGTCCATGTCCTCCCCTTCGCTCCTTTCCACGCTCCTCTGACATGAGTACGCTTCAGAAGAATGAGAGGAGCAGGTGAAAGGGGCGAAGAAGGGACCCCTTCCCCCCGCTTCCTAACTTTCTTTTCTCTGTCTTCTTCCTCTGCCGGACTTGAAACTCTCTCTCGGTCCCTCTATATCTGTCTCCTTTCCGTCATATCTCATTCTTGTTCTTTCCCTTCTCCCCTTTCGTTCCTGGTTCCCACCTTTCCATGAAAGGAGAGCGGGCGAACGGTTGGAGGGGAAGGGCACAAGGTGAGTGAAGAGGAGAGCACTTCCGTTTTGTCTTCCTCTACTCGCACTTCCTGGTTAAGCACCAATGAGACAGTGAGAAAGGAAAAGAACAACAAATGAACAGACGCGGAGGGCAAGGCCCTTTCGATTGCTTTCTGCATATTATATCCTTCTCCTTTTCCACCTACCTGCCTCTCTCTCTCTCTCTCTTGCTCTGTCTCTGTCTCTGTCTCTGTCTCTGTCTCTGTCTCTGTCTCTGTCTCTGTCTCTCTCTCTCTCTCTCTCTCCCTTCCCTTCCTCTCTACTTCTGCAGATTCCCTTTTCTGCTTCTCGCCTGTTATGTTTGAACTGTTACAACATATCCTCAACTCTCGGAAGAAGTATATATGTATATATATATATATATATATATATATATATATATATATATATATGCATGTATGGACTAGTTGCCATCATCTCGCACGAGGGCTCCGTTGCCACCTCGGGCCACTACCTGTGCCGTTCTCTGTCTTATCCGCCCGATGCGGAATCCTCCTTCTGGCACTGCGATGATGGAAAAGAGCCAGCAGATGATTGCCAGCACGTTTCACTGACATGTGTAAAACACACGGCTCACAGCAGCCGAGGTGGCTCAATGTCATAACAGCCTCGCCCCGGATTCTTCTGCAGCGTATGAAAAAAGATGTATACAGTTTATATGTAAATATGTACATGTATGTATATACGTATATATGCATATCTATATACGTAGATGTATATATGAATATATATATATATATATATGTATATGTATGTATGTATATATGTATATATGTGTATGTATATATATATGTATATATGTGCATATGTATACATGTGTATATATACATACATATATATATATACATACATACATATATATGTGTTTGTGTATATGTGTGTATGGGCATATGTGTATATGCATATGAAAAGAAATCACAATGATAGTATATGATATGCAAGATACAGTTGGCTTAAATCCGAACCGCAACAGTATCCTCCAGAGGAGTTCTTGTTGCCGTCATTTCCCCTGCTGTTGGACGATGACATTGCACAACCTCGGCCCCGGTTGTACAAGAGGTTGACGGGAGCCAGGCGCAAAGGCGGAATTGGGTGAGCGGGCAAGCCCAACACTGGGGTAAAGTGAGGTTTGAATGACAGAAAGACTTGCCGGTGACTTGCCCTTGCACGGGCAGCAGGTTGTTTTCATGGGAGGAAATGAGTATGCCACCAATGCCGAATGCATCAGACCGCGTGAAATCGTCAGGATTTATGGTTTCGCCCCACCACCACCACCACCAACACCACTACCACAGCGCACAGACAATGACAAAGACACAGTGTCTTCTCGGGTCTTTGACATATGCGAGCATGGCGATGGCGTTTTCTTACAGCTGCTTGGATGTTTTCGATCACCATAAGAACATGGCATGAGGTTGATTCTACAGATGTACGGGACACATGCTCAAACTGTCCGTTCGGTTATGAACCCCAGCCCTGGATTGATGTTGTGATGTTAAAGCATTGACAAAACAGGGTCGCACGTTGGACCTGAGTCGCGAGGCATTTCAAGGTTCAGCGGAGCTCAAAGTCATTCTGACAACACACTGGCGGAAGCTCGTTGGAACCACTGGTGCACGGACGCCTGTTTGGGTTTCGGAGAATTGTTTGGGCCATTTGAACGCGGCCGCCGCTCACCATGGTCCCTTGGCAGAATTTGGTAAGTCATGAAATGCGCTGCGCCTGCGCTGCGCCGAAGCATGTGGACGTGTAAATCGCTGAGACGCTGACTGGCATCGCCGGTGGTCTTCTGGGCGCCGCTGCTTTTACCACGGCCAACTGGGATGTGGTCGGCATGACCTCAGGCGGTCGCGACCAAACGAAACTTTTTGGAAGTAGGTCGCAGACAACGGCGCTGCTGGTTTTAAAAACTGCCTGCAAGGACTCGCTACTTCTGGACGCGGTGCGCAAGTGGACCAGTCGTTCCAAAGGTGGCAGAAGTTGTGCGAGGTTGTCAACCGTTCATTCTTGCACGGGGTGTCTACACAGGAAGCATGACCGAATCGATTACAAGGCCAGGTCCTGATCACAGCCAACCACGCTTTTGCTTGTCTCTTTGGAAAGGTGCAACGGCAAAGCCTTCACCGCGATGATTTGAACGATCTGATGGGACTTACCATAGGAGCATATGCAAAACTTATTTGTGAGTTCCTTCTCGCATGGGAACGCAACATGCGCCAAACCCAAAGCATGTCTCATGGATATTGGAGGACGGATGGACATGCTTGGGCCCTAGTTTGTGGATACGACGGTACGACAGCTGATGTTCAGCAGCCTTTTTTCAGGTACAATCTGGTCGGCGCATTGCTGCTGACCTTCGCACTGCAGTGGATAACTAGCAGAAGCTTGGAATGCGCTACATGAAGCTGTGCGACATCCTTAGCTCGTTCGCTCGTTGCAGCTGAGACTCGAGGTGACATTGTTGCCGCACCTGACGTCAAGTACTGGCCTCCTTGGTATTCCACGGTATTCGTTATCTCTTGCTTCAGCTCGGCACTTCGGCTGTTCAGACGTTTCTGCGCCCATGAGTGCACCAAGCTGCTGCTGCAGTGTCTTCGGAATGCAAGTTCATCCTTCAAGGTCGGCTACCTCTTGTTTTCCTTGTGGTTCGCCATGATGTGTTCCGTCACTTGCCAGGACACTTGAAAGCAAATCTTTGCCATCCAAAACCCACCATGCTTCGAGCGAGAATCTTTGTTGTTTCTCGTTGCAGTCGCTGGGCACCAGATTGAGAATCAACTTTGCGAGGCGCGGTGCGCAGATCTCGTTGTGGATGTGACCTGCAGGGCTGACGTTGATAAGAAGCCTGTATGCTGTAACATGTTGTAACCCGAATGGGCCACACGGCCGAATCGGAAAGTGTTTGTGCTTGGAATGTGTTTGCAAGCTTGACATGTTCCGCAGTTTGACCCTGCTAGAGACATGACGTGTGAGACAGCATGCGACCTTGCAGTTGATGTAGAAAGTTCACGCTTTGTCAATGCTAAAGTTCCAACTTTCCTACCTTCCATCTCACGAGCGCATCACGCCTCATGGCCTCTGCTCAGCTGCTCGCTATTGCTGTCCTCATGGCATGTTTGATTTTGGCATTGCCTCAGGGCTCCATTTGCCTTTCTGGACCTGGACAGTGTGCTGGTTCAGTCAATCTGGTGCCACAGCAACGCCTATTTACGAGCGAGCCGCGTCCTGAATTGTTTGGAAACCCTGGAAACCCAAGTCCTGGAACACCAGAATCCCATGGCTGGTCGCAGAAAAACTGGCTGAAGTCACGCTTCCATTTCAGCTTTGCTGAGTATGGTCATGGGCCTGACAATTTCGGTGTTCTCAGAGTCATGAACGATGATTTGGTACAGCCATTGCGCGGGTTTGGACAACATCCACATCGAGACATGGAGATTGTTACCTTCATCGTGGAAGGATTTCTTACCCACAAAGACTCTACAGGCGCGGAAGAGACGCTTGGACGCGGAAGCATTCAGTTTATGACGGCTGGGACGGGGGTAATGCATTCGGAGCACAACCTGTACGAGCAGCCGCTGCGCTTCATTCAGTGCTGGATTCTACCACGATTCCGTGGGACTGCCCCAAACTACGGCTCCATGCCGGGAGATGCAACTTTAGGCCGACAGAGGCAAAACCGGTGGTTTCATGCAGTCGGCGATGAATTGAAAGGCGGCGAATTTCCCGTCAAAATCAACCAGGACATGTGGTTTCCTCGGTGGTGGCTTGGTATGTGTAAGCTGCAGAACCTTTGAACACCTTCCCATGCCTTATGGTAGTGAACGACGCACAAGCACGACCGGAATAGGACTCTTGCAGCGAGTTTTCTGGGTCAATTTGCGACAAACGTTTGGTGCTTTGGAGGTGTTGGGATGTCAGCGCATCACATCTTTTAAATTTTTCGTTTTATGATTGTAAAAGGGTCCCCGGATCTTTGTGAACCAGTAGCACGTTTTGGGCGGGGTTCTTCGCACACATTCACTCCATCCAGGGTTTGAGTTTCCGGCTTTCGGCGTTGGCACAGCCTCGCATCGAATCGGGAAACGATGGTTTCCAACTCTCGCTAATCTTGTGTCCGGTTCTTGCATTGCCGACTCCCACTGTTCACCGGGTTTTGATGTAGGAGCGCAGCACAAGTCAGCAACGCACTTTGCCAGGACTGCAACATGTACATTTCCGAGCTTACCCCAGGCACAGCCCCTGCGCCGTTACCCATCAATGCTGGCCGTCAAGGCTATCTTCTGTGCGTTGAGGGAGACGTTCACTTGAACGATGGTAGTAGCGACAATTTCATTCAACGACATGATGCGGCCGAGTTGAAGGGCCCGTTGCTGCTGGAGGCCACGGCTGGCTCACATGGAGCACTTGTTCTGCTTTTCGAGATGGAGCTTACGCAAGATAGCCGAGGCGAGACTTAAATAGAATGCTTCTGCATTCGCAACATACAGCTGACAGATCTGGCCGGCCGGCCCTGGATACATGATGGGCTGAGCCGTGCTCGCATCGAGAGCATCGAGTGATGTGCAGCTGCTGACGTAGTTTGTTAGTGGACTGAGTGTGTTGACAGATCCCTTGCATGAGACGGTTGCGCACTAAAGTCCGAGTCGTTGCTCCGAGCTGAGCTTTGTGGCTGACAGAAGGCCAACATGCAACATGCATCAGGCTTTCTCTGCCCAAGAATGAGGACATCTCACGCATAAAGGCGCAACCCGCTTGGGTAGTTGTGTTTCGGATCCGTGTGGCAGTTGGATGCTCCACATCCCCGGCTTGTTCCTGCTTGACTTCATTAAGGTGCCCTTTTTCATTCCAGGTGGTGCCTGGCACCTAGCAACACGCGAGATTGCACCTTGTGATAAGCCCTTCAGCTCAAGGAGCAGCTCGTGCGAACAAGGCTTTGGAAAAGATGCAGCACAAAATCTTCAACGCCGAGGGAGAGGCCTTTCGAGTGCAGCCACGTAGCTAGTCTGGCGCGAGGAAGGCAATTCAGTTTGCGCTTTTTGCTTGCTCGGAATACGTCGCTTCCTGAAGGCGGACCACCTAGGAAGCGGTGAATTCACTGGCCAGGCCTGGGCCAAGGAGCAACATTCAGGATCTGTCACATGCCAGTGTTTGGAAGGAGCTTCTTAGAGAGCTCAAAAAGGAAGAGCAAGAGGCCGACGTGCAGAATTACATGAGGTGTTGTGAGACCGTTGCATGCACGTTTTAATCTTTGTATCGCGGCATTTTGCCAGCAGCAGGTTTGCTGAATTAACTAGCGAGCTAGTTTTGGATGCTGCGCTACGACATAGTGTGTGGTGCACGACATCCCTCAATAAACGGAAGGAATTCTCTCCAAACCAGCATTGAGTGCTGTTTCGAGGTGAAGGGCTGTGGTTCGTGGCAGTTGTGGTTTCATTCAGGTTTAGACCAAAGGTGCTTGATTCAAAGATTGAAGCTGGGCTCCCAGGCAGACTCTGCTTCAACGCCGACTTCAAAGCCAGAGAAGGTGTTGCGAGGTCTGACATTCAATGACTGGGGAACCGATAATGGCGAGAAGGACGAGATGCTGCCGAGGTTTTCAGCAAGGCTGTAATAGCATTGAGAAAAAACGTGGCCGTGGAATAGCGACAGGATGACGACGACCAGGACTTCGAGAAACACTTGCGGCGGTGGCTCTACGAGCGTGGGCAGTCTGCCGCCCTGTAACATCCCGGCGTTACAACTGCACTCCCCATGCGCGAGAGTCCTGAACGACAAGGGCTCCCTCACGGATCCCAGGTGGCTCAGCGCAGACGCTTATGCGCGAGCCTGCATGGTGGCAGCTTGGTTTTGGTTTCGCATCGAGCAGGAAATTCTGCTGTTAGAAGCCGTGCAGCGCTTTCCATTGCTCTCGTTTGTGGTTCAGGTTGGCATGAACCAGATGCTGCAGGCTTTGACCTACCATGTCGCCAGGGGCTAAATGATGTTGGTGAAAGCTCTCCCCACCCGCAACATCATGTGGGCTGAGGTGGCCACTGTGTGGAAGGTTTCGGCACTTACGTCAATCGCTTGTCTATTGTTGGCCAAATCATTGTCAGTCGGGATCTCGGGTGAGACTTTCCGGTCCTTTGCGTAGGCAGTCAAGTCATTGCCTGCATGAACGATGCGGGTTCATCTGAGCGGAAGCTCACCGAGCCCAAGGGTTTTATATGCTGCATACAGCACAGTTCTTGGCAAGAAGTCCAGTCTCACCAAACGCAGCCCAGTTGTTCATGCTTCAAGTCGACCTTGGAATCCGGAAATATCGATGCTTCGGCGACTCGGCTAGAGCATGGTGTCCTCCCGTGCCTCTCCCGCGGACTTTGTTTCTGACATGGTCACAGATACGATCGAGACATTCAGTTGTCGACTTCGCACCCCGACACACATGACACAGTGCAGACGCTGCCTCGGAACCGGAGCCTTGATGTATCATGCCACCCATGACCCTATGGGTCTCGACTTTGTTGCTGTCGCCTTCATCATGACGGGTGCGGGCGAGGCTTTGGCTATTCCGCAAGTAAGCCTCATTGCTCGTCTCAGGTTTCACGATGGTTATGCTGCGGCTCGGTCGGAAGCATTTCTGTTTGTGTGTTTGTGTGTGTGTGTGTGTTTTGCGCTGTAGTCGCGTTTTTTTTTCTTTTTTTTTTTTGTGATGCTTTCGTGCAAGCAAGGCTGGAGCTTCTTCCACCGACTTATGCTACGACGCTTGGCATTGACTGGCGCTGCAGTCGCCCTGGCAAACCACTCCCCCTGTGGGGTCGGGTGGGGAAGCAGGAGCTCATGAAGCTGAGTGTGCCAAAGCCTACCATGCCGGAGCTGTCAGGCTATATTTGTTCGTTTACGTGCCTGGCATTGAGTGGCCTGGTTGGTTGCAAGGATCCCTGCACAGAAACACGGTGGTGTTAGCACAAATGTGGATGACCTGGGTGCTGTTGCAGGAGTGGCTTGTTTGCCTGTATTTCTTTTGCATGCTGTTTGGATGGGCTACTTGTCCAGGCCTCAGCATTGCATTTCGTGATTGACGGGTCGCTGATGTTCAGACTGAAGAGCTTTGCAGCTGTACTGAGGAGTCACCAGCTTACACCTGCAAGTGGCAACCCGGCTGGACCAGCTCACTGAAACGACTTCGGTGTTGCTGCGGCACGAAGCTGCGATGCTGGTGTGCGTTTGGCCGAGGTGAACGCCTAGCCTTTGACACCGAATCTCATTTGTCGGATTCCGACAGCTCATCGAGTGGATCCGAGCAGGTAGATGAAGATCTTGCGAGGCACTCCTACAAAAAGGATATTGACAGGCGCTGTGGGTCCAGGATGCTGGTAGAAGTTGTTTGCACCGGCAGGCAGCGACTTCAATCTGGAAGAGGTTTCTATGGGACAGAGTTCCTGCCCCATCGGCCACTTGGAATGCTGGGGATTCAGTAATTTAACTACCTTAAACGAGTGCCTCGGGGATGCAGTGGTATTGCAGGTAAGTAAGTGCGTGCCTGCGAGGTGCGTGTGTGGGTGGGTGGATGGGTGTGTTGTTCGGTTGGTGGATTGTGCCAGGTTGAAGCGGAACAAGCTTTTCAACATCATCGAGATCCATGACGACAATACTGAGTTTGCCCAATCCGGTCTGCGTGTTCTGCAACGTCTTTCCTCTGCTCGTATGTCTTGGGTTGTTATCCCATGGACACCTCACATACACATCAATCCTCAGGCTGCAGGACCCGATTCCAGAAAATGAGCTTCGAGAAGCAAAGGTGGACCCGATGCCAGGACGCCGACTAAAACAGTCGGTTAAGTTGATTCTTCGCTTAGGCTTGTGACGGTCAAGACACTTCGAACGTAGGTTTCAACACCCAGCCAGCTCAATCGACTGGAAGCTGAGCGTGACGGACCTTCCGATGCCGTGTGTGATTCCACAGGAAAAGTCACTGTGAACTTCACTTTTTTCCTGGCGATCCTTTACGTCCTTGTGCCGGCCTCATTTTTTGAAGTTCCTACAGCAGCAACGGAGCGAGCAACAGCGAGCAGCTTCAGAAGTCAGAACATGTGGGACAGGCATCATGACAAGGGCACAGGATGAACTGCTCCCAGAGATTGGGTAGATGGTTTTGCACTACCACAGGGCGTGCTTCTTCTTGCTTTCTCCTGCGCTCCGTGTTCTCTGCTGTCACCAAGAGTGGGATCATGCACACGGCCGGCCAGATCTTTGGTGGTTCGGCTGCATTTTCGCTTCCGTGCCTCCGTTTGGTGCAATGGATTCCGCCGTATGATACGCCGTGTAGAGAATCGGATGCGAATCTTTCGCCGAAGATGGCAGTGGAAGAAGTTGTTCACAGAAGCATGTCACCTGAAGTAAAGATGAGGTTTCGATCAAGCGGCGATTATTGATTGCTCAGACGAGAATTGCACGACCAGCTGCCTGCCTAATCCCTGGAACCGAGCACAGGGTCAACACAGGAAGATCTGGTTTCTTGAGACTTACAATCTCAACTGCAGGAGTGAGCAGAGAAGCAGCTGAAGCCAGCACAGGCCAAAATGCTAGTGGCTCATGCGTCTCCCAGGCAAGAGCAATCCGATTTGGCCCCATGCTCGGCCACGACCACAAGGGCCCAGTGCCAGGCATCCACACGTACCTACCGTTGTTGAAACAAGAAAAGTCGTCATTACTCGGCAACCAGATTCAGTTCAAGCCTTATCTTTCAGTCAACCTCTGGTTGAGGCACCATCCCCTGCGGCGACTTCGTGGACAGTCCTTTGTCGGAATGGAGAGTATGAGAACATCGGAGACCCTCAGTCTGGCCTCAGGTATGCTGTCGATGCCGAGATGAGAGAGATACACAGCAACTGGCCATCGCCAGCTAGTTTTTTTGAGGCTGTGCTTACATGACGATGCGATAACCAGACGCAGCATTGAAAAACAATGTCCTTGGAAGGTCAAGGCCCTGCACTGCAGTTCGCAACTTGCTGAGCATGTCATACGTAGCAAGCAGAGCTTCGATCCATGGTGCTTTTGGCGGTCTGCGCAGCTCGAGGAACAACTCGCACCTTTTCATGCACAACGGCTTCGCTGCCTTTGAAGCCGAAGTCTTGAACACGAGACTAGGTGAGCTCAAGAGGTGGGCCAATATTTCGCGACAGGTCCAAGCAAGTCAACCCTGCTGCCTAGCATGAGGAGCTAAGAGGGATGATGGTTCATAATTGTCTTCCAGGTTTGAAATGCCACAAGTCGAATCCGTGATGATTCTCGGCTTGTACTTGGAATACAGAGAGAGCACGTGCATGTTTGGGGGCCGGGTCTACAGTTGCAGGTTTTGCAAACTTGGCACATGCTTTGCACTGTTACCTGGCCCTCTTCTGGCCAGTCCTTGGAGCCCAGAGCTCAGCACGTTCGGCGCTAGCCGGCGAGTTCAGGGTTGTCGTGCAATCGAACATGCTTGGAACAAGAGACAAAGGTCTTAGACTCTTGTCGGCGGCTGCCTCTTCGGAATTGCGGCCGGGCTGCACACTGCCAAATTTGATTTGCAGCTGTTTGCCGGCATGTTAGACAGGCCTGAAGTGGGTGCCAAGGAACGATCAGCATGTACAGAACGTGGTGGGCCCAGCTACTGGAATGCTCACCGGACTGTTTTGGCTTTGTGGGAAGTATCCCAGACCCTGAACTGGGACCAATGAAAAGCTGGCTTTGGTGGCTTCTTGGCTTTCACCTTGATTTCTTGTTTTCTTGGCCTTGGGGCTGCCTAGCAGCTGACGGCAAACCCCACACCCCGGCCCGCCGACCTGGGCATCCGGACCTTCACGGCTTTCCGGGTTCAGCTTATGTGTAGCTTCTTGGCTTTCGGGCTCCGTGGCTCTCACATGGCCTTTGGCTTCTTTTTTGTCTGGGCTTGCCTGACTTCCCCGATTCCCCCGTCCGTCTGTGCCTCTCTGCCTCTCTGCCTCTCTGCCTCTCTGCCTCTCTGCCTCTCTGCCTCTCTGCCTCTCTGCCTCTCTGCCTCTCTGCCTCTCTGCCTCTCTGTCTCTCTGTCTCTCTGTCTCTCTTTCTCTTCTGTCTCTCTGGCTGTGTGTCTCTCTCTTTCCCCTCCTCTCACCCCCCTCCCTCTTCTTTTTCTTCTCTCTCCCCTCCCTCCTCTCCCCCATCTCCCTCCTCTTCCTCCTCACCTTGCTCTCTCGGCTTGCTCTCTCGGTTTGCTCTCGCGCTGGCTCTGGCTTTGGCTCTCAACAAGCAGCGCCTGCTTTTTTCGTGCCAGGCCCACCATCTCTGAGCGGAGCTACTGTTAATTGGTCCGTGGCATTGGCAGAAAGATGTTCAGGTCTCGATTCCTGAAACCTGGCGCCTCATCTCTGCCGTCTGGGCGGAGACGGGATTAATTTGGCTTGCAGGTGACGTTTGCATGATGCTTGAAATTTTTCGGTGGGCCCGTAGCAATCTCCGACACAGGATGGGATGGCAGCAGCATCACTGCTGCTAAGCTCTGGAGAGACGCCTTGTGGCATTCTTTCTGAGAGCCTTTACGTGATGTGATGCGTGAGGGTTGCAGCATCGAGAAGTTTCAGCTCAGAGCTAAGGGAAGTCCAGAACATTCTTGGCATCTTGAGCAAAGCTTCAAGGTTTGGACAAAGCAAGACAGAGTCAGCTTGTAGCTTGCAACCCTGGAAGCTGGGGTGGTTCGTGCATTCCTGCTCAGGTGAAGCCTGGTGCAGGCCCGGTGGCTCTTGGACCGTTTGAAGTTACAATGGACTTATCAGCAAAAATCTTGCGAGGCCTTTGCCATGCAGGCAAGGAGACGTGCAGCAGACACGTGGCTGGCGGCTACATCGATGTACAGGCGCTGCAGCTAAGTGCGGAAGGCGCCTTGGGACCTGGGGCACTGGGGAATGGACATGTTTGTTTGCGCGAGTTTCGGAGAATTAACTGACATTCCCTGCGTGAAGCTCTAAGCGCAAAATGGTTTGATGCGACAGGCAGGAGCCTCGTCGTCCTTCACGGTGACCTGGCTGCAAATGAGCAAAAACTTGGAGAAGGTTTGTCTCTTGATACTTGCTCGTCTTTAGGATGGAAATGCTCAAGCTTCCATACTTCGAGATTCTGCATCGAAGTACTGTGCTTCGTGTCCCTCGAAAACATCCGAATCACCACAAGAAGTGGCTTTGAAACTCCACGCGCATCCACTCGTAAAGCGCAACACGACAAGAACGCTTGCTTTGATATTCGGCAGCACGAAGTCAGAAGAAGCACGTTGAGCAGTCGATGCAGGTGGGCGCTTCCTGGATTTATGGGACTTGGAGATCGGTGCCTTCAAGGGGCAAATGGAACTAGAGCAAGCTTATCAGTCATGACCTCAGAATCTTCACTCTTGTGCAATTCATCGAGTCGGCTTGCGTGCTTTCCTTTCCTGCAATACTGGCATGATACTGTGTATGAGCAGACAGACGCCCGCCCGCCGGGCCCCCACCTCCGGCTCACCCCATCCGCTCACACGCCCCGCATACCCGCCCGGGCACATATATATATATATATATATATAAAGGTATGTTGCCCCCCCCCCCTCAAACCCCGCGCCTCAGATTTGCAGAAGCACAGATTCGCAGATTCCCAGGTTCGCAGATTCCCAGATTCGCAGATTTCCAGGTTCCTAGGTTCGCAGATCAAATATATATATATATATATATATATGTATATATATATATATATATATATATACATATATATATATATATATACATAATATAATATACATATATATATATATATATTATATATGTGCTACCCCCCCCCCCCCCCCCCCGGGTTATCCACCCTTTTCGGGCACCCGCCCGCTCTACGTGGGGTCCTCCCACGGGCAGCCGTTTCTTTATCCATTGGCGGGCCGTGGTGCGGAGCACGGCCATGCCTGCTCACACACCCGCCCGCTCTACATAAAGACCCCCCAAGACCAACCTAGAACATATCAGTGTTCACTTGTGTGCACGTCGACGCCGAAAACCGCGAAAATAGCGATAGAGTTCGTGAAAGTGGACAGTATCTACTAATCTACTATCTCGATGGAGGTGTTAAGGTCGATCTTACTAATCGGACTAATACAGCATAATGGTGTTAGTGTTTGTCTCCATTTGAGTATTGCTATTACAACAGAAATGTATACTAGATCAGTATATCAGTATATTCGTATGTCTGTATATTGTATATTGGTCTATGAGTAAGTTAGCATCTTCGTTTTTAATTATTGGTATATATTCATATTTATACTGATATACATATGACCATGATGATTAGTGTTCGTAAGAGTATTCATGTCATTATTCATTTCATTTATGCTCGTAAGCAAGAGAGTTTTCTAAATGTATCCACAGCATATATGCTAGCTACTAGTGTTTGCGCGTATGCATTTACATGCATGACAACGTCTTCTTTCAAGCTACGCCCTGGTGCCAGGGCCATGTGCCACAACAATGCTTCTCTGCGCCTTGTCCGGCATAGTCCGGCCGGGCCGATCCTGGAAGAACTTCCTTGGGCCCGAGCCCGGAACTTGGTCTCGATGGACCGCGATGACCAGTCAGGCACATCCGACAACAACCGACGGATTCGCCATTTCGCTCCAGAAACAGAGAGTGTTTGGAATTTGTTCACGGGTTCCATGTAGTCGTAAAACCATCCAGTCACAACTTGTGTCGTGGTTAAGCTGTTTCAACTGTAGTGTTCGTGTCGTCCGAGCCACGCCATGACTCCAGAAGAGTGGGAGTTGACGCGCTGGTGGCGAGAAGGTGCAGACCGCAACTTTCGAAAGGGAGGGATTTTTTGCTACGAACAGGACGTGTTCCTTTTGGCCAACTCATAGTGGGAGTCGTGCAATATGTTTTTCCGGTGGTAGGAAACAGCTGAAGGTCCGGGGCCACTTGATGCGGAACCAGATGCTTTCGAGCTTGGCACGCCTAGAGGCGAGAGAAGCAGTGGCTTCGTTGCTTTGAATGCAGGTTGGCCTTTGTTGCTTTGTTGTGCCCAAAGCAATGGGGGGTGTTAAATTCACGTCCGAGGCTATTGAGGACGAGTTCGAGAGTTGGTCCGACCGTCCCAAGCGAGCAACGAAGTCGCCGGGTTCTGCATCGAATTGCGCGGCAGGCCTTTGCATTTTCTTGTTTACGTCCAATCTGGTTGGTTTGGCTGGTCAAGCCGACTCAGAAGTTCGGGAAAGTCCCACTTCAGTATGCTACATTGAGTATTCCTTCCTGAAGCATGTCCGGCCTTGTGGAGAGACATCCTCTGACGGTCGAAGCCTGGAGGTACCAGCTACGATCTGTCTCCAAGGAACGGTGAGTCGCCCGCGCAGAAAGTTGAAGCGTTTCAGCTAGAAGAGGAGGAGTCACTTAGCTCAAAACTAGGACCAGCGGCTGCAGCTGACACACGCTTGGTTCAACAGAGATTGAACAGAGTGGGGGGGTCATTGCCAAGGAACGCGTACCTGTCCGCAGTTCAGCTGCTGAAGGAGATGGGCTCTGGTAGGGCAGAGGCGGCAAGTCGCAGATGTGCCAGAGCTCCGCCTTGCAGCCTTTGACTCCGGACTCCAGACCCGTTGCAGGCGGAGGTGGCGTGGAAAACATGTGTTCTCCGCATCTTGACTCCATTGAGTGAACTAGAGCAGCTTCGCATCCATCAGTCATCTATCTCTGCAGCAAAAGCCTTGCAGGAATTGGCAGAATTCAGAGTATCTCTGTACTCATAACTCAGCAGTTGCAACCGAGCACATTGCACCGGAAAACACGCTGGCTTGGAGTTCAATCCCAGCCGAGCCCTTCGATGAGCCCTTTGCCGCGAACCCGAAAGGCCCAACCCTGAACTTAGACGCTGCGACGCCGCGCCTGTCTTGACAGCCTAGTGCTGAAGTGTATCGAAATCGCTTGTGGTGCTCTGTGTGTAAGTTGCAGACCTTGCCTGATACTCCCGATTGAACATTCACCAAGCTTAGCTTAACCCTCAACCCCGAAATCCTAAAAGCCCTGAACCTGAAACGAACGGAACAGGGACGTCTTTAAAAAACTGAACTTTAAACTCTGAACCAGAAATTCCTCATGCCAGCACTTTACATATGTAGTGTCCGTGCAGTTGGAGCCCCCAAGAGCAAGGCGAAAAACTGCGCCTTGCCAGATCTTTGGCAGCGTTGCGCACGCCCCCACCTCCGCGGAGAAGCTTCTCTCGCCAGGTGGAATGTTAGACTATGGAGATGGAGCAAACGCTTCTTGCAACTCGTGTCAAGCGACAGACTTAGAAAGAGAAAGAGGCTCTTCTCTTCTTGCCTGGGAGAGAGAGAGAGAGAGAGAGAGGTCGAGTGAGAGGGCAGCGAGTTCCCTGTTGCAGACCTCCGGAGACACCAGCGTCGACGATATTGACGCAGGCCCAGTGACATGCCACCGGGATGCTCGATGCTGTGTTTCTCAAGCGCCATCGAGAGCGCTTTTACCCGCCATGTTAGCATTCTATGAACACCCGTGCCATATCCGCACAACACGTCGGGGAGCTGCTTCCGATGCCTACGGATGCACAGACCCCAGATACGCACCAAACAGACCCAAGAGTCACCGACGAGTTGATTTGCCGATGCATATACACGGACAAGAAGCGAAAACACCAGAATCTGGACACACTAACACACCCCAAGACTACGATGACCCTTGCTGCCTCTGTGGACCTGTTCAGGGCATGCCCCTGAAGATCGCGAGCTTTGCGCAGACCTCAGTTTCTTGGGGAAGCAGAAGTTGGAACAGCCGGAAAGAAATTCTCTCTGTCGTGGGAACAAGGGCTTAGGAAGCAGCAAGTGTGTGTTCAAGAAGATCGGCGTCGGTCGGGCTACCCCCAGCTGCCTCGGAACGCTGATTTTTGAGCAGATGTTGACACTTGGGCCAGCTGGGCTTGGTTGATCGTTGTTGGGTTGAAGCATCTCAAACAAATTTTCGATTCTCAAGACGACTTGAAAGCCTTTTTTCACGACATGATGATAATCTGCTTCAAGCATCAGAACCCAGCATCTCACCTTCTATGGCCTAGCTACCCGAAAAAGTTGTGAGCTTCTACGGCATCTTGCAGCTTGCCACAGACGGACCCCCTTGCCCTGTTATGAGGCCTCCAGGTCTTTCATTACACGCACTTCGACCCAATGTAGTTGTAACAGCCCCGGCACACCAGCAATGAGAATCATGCAAGCTCTTCATCGGCACCTTCTCGTGCAGATTTGCAATCATGATACCGGCTCGGGTACAGCCCCGCAGAAAATCTGCAAGTTGTGCAGGTCCAGATGACTGGCCCGAACAAAGATTTCGTCCGTTGGCCGTCGACTTTTCATTCAATTTCGCAGCCTTAGAGATGGCTGAGCGGGAGTACGAGGCCAGCCGTTCTGCTGGTGAAGGCCACAGTCCTGTCCATGTGACAATTCCGGCACAGGTAGAGGTCCGAACGCTACTCCAGGAAGTCTTTGCTAATTGGCAAAGAGCAGTCCTGACGAAGTGATGGCTTCTGGTCTGCATTTGGCTGTATGTGCAGAGCCAGGCTTCAGAACGTGAACCTGAGACCAAGGCAGCAGAATGTTCATCCCCTTCGTGGGGCCTACGGAATAGTGTGTTTTCGATTGCCGATAGTTTGCTGAGCTGTGCTCAGTTCTGGAGCCGTCGGGACACTGGTTCTTGCGCGGTGAGGGACAAGTCTTGCGTGGCGCATCATGAACGTCATCCTTTCCTTTCTAAATGTTACAAACCGCCGGGCCAGAGAAGCCGACATTGGCGCTCACGGGGTGCGCTCGACAGCCCTGAAAGCCATTTTCGTCTAGCAACAGCATGCGGGTGCAAAGGCGCCTGTTCATGGTTAGGTAGTTTTGGCGTTGCTGTGGCAGCAGGTGCCTGGCCTTTAACGTCAACATCTAGTCTGACATATATATTTCTGTACCAGAAAGAATGCAACGTAACATTGGGCCCGAGACCGTCTAGTTCGTCCCCAAGTTTTAAAGCTGCTGCCGGATGCAATAGAAGCATTCAGCGCCATGCAGGGATCTTGACCCAGAACAAGTGGGTCCCCAAGGGTCGCAACAGCAAGCACCAGCCTTGAAGTCAAGGTGCAAGGGGTGCCAACTCGACATGTACAGGCATTGACACAAAAACGGTTTGCTGGAGCGGAGGGTGGGGTGGGTAGGCTCAACTCTGAGCTTTGAATTCTGCAGCGAAACAGCTCGTCCTTCCCGGAGCACGCCGGACATGTAGTAGAAGAGTTCTTTTGGTCCCGTAGGGTCGTTCACTCTCACACCTGTGGCTTCTTCATGCTTCTGAGTTTCCTAGTTGCCGCTAGAACGGCTGCCCAGCGAGCAGCTCACTATTCTGAATGCGCTCTGACTTTGCCATGCAGCATCGTTGACACTGGGACGGTTCCGTGCTGCAGTTGGGCTTCTTTCTGCCCCTTTGCAGTTACAGAATGTCTGAACTTGATCGTAGCCGTAGTCTTTTCCTGTCTCGCTCTCTCTCTCTCTCTCTCTCTCTCTCCCTTGCTCCGCAGTGCTTGTCTTTGAACTGTCGTGCAAGACTTTAGTCTGGTCAATGACACTTCGTCGCACATTCTCTTGTCTTTACGGCTCTTGTCCAACGGAGCATGTCGCTTCATGTTTCTGCAAGACTTTAAAGCCAGCTTCGCAAGGCTTCCAGTTGCTTCTCCTGAAGCAGCGGGTGAGCGATTCCTTTGTTGCATGTTTGGTCCCATGCGGGGCTGAGCCCAAAGAGGTTTCCTCCCAATCGGGAGGTAAAGAGCTTATTGCCCTGCCGCCAAAAATCCTCGCTGGTTCGGCCCGGGCGGGCGCTAGAGCATCTGGTTTTTCCTGGTGGACGTTCCATGTGTGCATAACCTGCAGAACTCTGCTGTTGTGGCTGTTTCAGTGGCTGCAGGCCATGGACTGGAGACAGAGTACTTTCGAAATAGAAGTTTTCCGGACGGTGTCACCGTGTTGGCCCAAGAAACTCCGCAGAATGATGTATTTGACAAGATTCTGCAGCACCACGACTGGCTGTCGATTTGACTTGAATTGACTGGCATGACACGGGCACGCCATGAGCGCCATCGGCGAGACAAAGAGGTGCAGCACCGAGGTTGTTTTTGAGATTTGGGAAAGAAGGACGGAAGGAAGGAGCAGGAACGTCACGAGTGAAACGAAACAGAAATCACAAAGATCAGCTTCGAAACCTGTCGGAAAGTCGAATCTACCACCTCTACGGTACAGATGTTGCTAGGCTCAGAAACGGTGGCTCTCCGAAAAGCGTCGTGCATGCCCCAATCTGTGAGATTGTGTGCACTGAAGATGGTTTGTATCAGTTTGCTATTGAGGTGGTGTGCAGGAGGATGCCCAGCAGGTTCGTGGTCCATGTATGCGGGGCCTTCTCAGAACATGTCCATGTCGGTTGCAAGGGCACGGCGGCAGAAGATTTCCGAAGTTTGCGCCTCATTTGCCTCGCATTCTCTTTGCATTTCTGCCGAGCCTACGTGGGTCCAGGCTATTACAACGCTCAGTTCTGTCACGATCACGTGCTTGCGACAGAACAGGCCCCTGTATGCGAGATGTGTGCGCATTCACGTGATGCATTTCAGCCCCATCTTGCTGAAGGCCGAGTTTTGGTCATCCATGGAGTCGGCTTTGCCGGTTACCGTTCGAGCAGCATGCGATGCAAGCAGTGCATGTTGTGCTGCACGTGCAAGCAGTGGTTTCCATTGATGGCAAGGGTGAAGACAGTCTTGGATCTTTCCGAGTCATCTATGGTTTTTGGGCCTTGCTTAGCATTGCAAGCGTGGTAGAGCTCAGGGTTGGAGGGGCAGGCAGAGCTGCAAAGACATGCTTCAAAACGACACGAGTGATAGAACTGGGGCCTGAAGCACAAGCTCCCCAGGGCTGTCAGCTTCAGAAGACCAACTCAGTTGTCGGCTTCCAGCTCTCAGCACAGCCACAGTTTGGCCGTACAAGATCTGTTGTTCCAAGGTCAGTTCGAGTCCAGCAAGCTCGCATACAGAGGCCTTGGCCTTTTTCAGCGTTTGCAGACAAGGTGTCTATTTGTTGCGCTCGCACTTCGACATCTCAGGCTCGCTTGGCTTCGTTCGGCTGGCATCGACGAGTCGAGTGCATGGCCAAGATGGATGAAAAGCCAAGTGCCATGTCCTGCTGGTACCAGCCAAGGTTTGACCGGACCGGCGACTTGGCCTTGCACCGGTTGGCAAGGCTTACCTGCTTACCCTTACAAATGTGACACGAGGTCTCTCGGTTTGGGAAATCAGCTCTGAGATGCAACTTGGCCCCAAGAGTTAGCACACAGTCTTTCGCAGACCTTCCGGTCTTGGACAGCGAGGTACTCTCAAGACCGCAGGCACTATGCCATGCTTTGCCGAGAATGACCTTCGTAATCTCCATCTCTGAAGGCTTCGAGCATGGACTGAACGTGAAAACCGTTTGGGGAGCTTGTGCTTTCAGGCCCAAACGTGAGAGGATTATGTCTCGCACCACACTTGCTGCGATGTGCATTTCACGGGCGGCTTCCTGCAGGAGTTGGTTTCGCTGATACCTCCGATATTGCTTGATCCGCAACCCAAAGAGGCGGTTCGATTGCAGCAGGAGAGTTGTGCATTGTGCTTGGGGCAACGGCAGGTTTGCCTTGATCTTTGTGCTGCTCCCGGGAGCCTCGGACATGGCTTGATATGGTACTCCTTCTATGCTCCGTGCTAAAGGTGCTTGTGTACTAGGGCTAGCACCGATGCGGGTTTGCTAGGGCGACAGTTCGTCAAGAGAGCAAAGCCAGCCAGCGCTCTTTTGCCCTCTTAGGGATGTCTGCCATGCCACATCTCCTATACTGTGCCCATCCTTATCTAGGGGGCTTCCTGCCCCCATAACGTCCACTGATGTATTGCCGCAGCGGAAACTTATCCCGAGACTGGCTTTCAGGAACAAGTCCCTTCAATTGTTGGAGTCTCTGGCATCCAAAGCTGATGTCGAAGGTGCTGTGCTGCGATGACCTCAGGAAACCGACCATGCAGATTCCGAGAACATGCTCATGCAGAGATGGCATTCGAGGTCTGCAGACAACGACCCACAAAGGTCGTCGACTTATGTGGTCGGATGTGCATTGAGCTGAAAAGCATTATCGTGCTTATCGGTGTCCTAGGTGTTGCCTCACTCTTCATCGTGTGCTGGGAAAAGCTGCTTCGCCCGCTTCTTGCGCAGCGTTGGCGAATGCTGCGCATTTTCCAGTGCTTCTGGATCCTTGAGCTGAGTTTGCTTCCAGTCCATGTTGCTTCCTGTACTGCACATGCTGGTGGAAGCACCTACTCGCAGGATCAGATGGACACCGAACTGGTTGACTCTGGCTTTGGTCGGCTCGATTATGACCGCGCATCGCGGCTGCAGGTTTAGATTTCATGCTGCCTTGGATAACAAGGTTCAGCGAAGTAACTAAAAAAAATCTGAAGGCTTGCCTCTTGAATTTGCAGCTAAGATTCTTGCAGATGTGCCATGCAGTGGTGATGGCACAGCCCGCAAGAACACACAAGCCTTTTGCCCAGAAGTGCATTCCTTCGATCGCCAGCCGAATCGACTGAGATGGTTCAGTTTGAGTCAGGTCTTTCGCGGATGGTCACGGCGTGAAGCATTGGAGCTGTCATCTCTGCAGCGACGCATCTTGCTTCGGGGCTTGTACTTGTTGCCGCCGCAAGGCCGGCCAAGTCACGAAGGGAACTCGCCAGAGCAGTGGTTGCACCGAGCCAGCTGCAAAAGCGATCTTTCCAGGCACGCTTGTGTACTCTACGTGCTCATTGAATCCTCTGGAGAACGAGGCCTCCACAGCAGCTGAGCGCTAACTCGCTGGACTGATCGTCGCCTGGCTTTTGCGCAGCAGGCTGTGGTTTTGAGCTGTCTGCGACGCTGGAACGCCAACCTACATTCCCAAGGCCGTTGCTGACGGGTTGGGCAAAGTGGGGCAAGAACACTTGAAACAGAGCCGGTGAGACATCGTTTGCCGCTGTGATGTTCGACAGCCGAACGTTTCTGGATTTGTGCTTTGCAGGGAATGCCAAGATGCCGGTGTCGTTGCTCGATGCCCAGGCGCAGCGCTTGAGTGCCCAAGACCTTTGCCAGTCACTGCAACCACAACCCATTGCGATGGCAGGTGATGGTCGAGCGCAAATGTGGTTTGCGCGCTGCCTCATGGCCGCCTTGTGTGTTTTGGGGTGCAGCCAGAAAGACTGAGAAGCAGGATGTGAATGATGATGGTTTTTCTGCTACGATCGAATAGCCAGCCATCCCATGGCATGCGACCTCATCCTACATTGTATTTGTCTTGGTTTGTTCCTCCTCTATTTTCCTACCACGTACTGTGTTGATCTGGCTTACTCTCTCTCCCTCTCGCCTCTCAGCCGCGGTCGCTTACTATAAAGTACCCACCACCGATTCCAGTCACTTTTGCTTGCTGTCGCTGCCTCGCTACCATCCATGAATG